GGGACTCAGGTCAACAATTTCTGACATTGCCAGTGAAGCAGAAGACCCAATACTATTATGGGCTACTGAACTCTTTTAGAATATTTTGCTGAGTTTATACACCTATAATACTTAAATGATGGAACTTAACAAAAAAAAGGGATACAGATGAATGTCCCTTTTGTATCTGTATTCAAGGTGGCTGTTTTTATTACTCTTTTCTAAATGTCATGTTGTCTACATTTGTAGGGCTTGCAGGCTTTGAAGAATTTAAATGATCTCAACCTTGCAGGAAATCTGATAAGCAGCATTGGTATGTACTGTTTTGTTTGAACTATGAGATTAATACCACAAGCATTTTTATCAGTATGAAAAACATATACTTAGATTGTTTTTTGTTTTTTGTTTTTTGTTTTTTGTTTTGTTTTTTTTTTTTTTTTTGGTACTGGGGATTGAAGTCAGGATCTTGCGCTTGCCAGGCAGACACTTTTGCCTCTGAGCTATCTCTCCAGCCCCCATCCTTAGATTTATTTAATTTAAATAATTTGTTTGTCATCTTTGCAAAGCATTTTTGAACCTATGATTATAGAGTATGAGCACTGCTCAACAGTGCTCAGTAATTATAAATGGTACCATTAGTTTTGTTTATAGGCAGGAAACAACCCATATAAGTCAGAATTGTAGGTAATAAGCAAGTAAAACAGAAATTTAATTTTTCTTTTATCTTGTTTTTTCATGTGAAGGGCAACGTCTTGATGCCAATGAAAAACTGGAAAGATTAAACCTTTCTGGTAATCAAATATGTTCGTTCAAGGTATGTTTACATGGAATGACTCGTTTTTATTTATCAACATGAATCTTGAACTATCTTGTTGATGACACAGTCCCTTTTATAGGAAAAAAATATTATTATTTTAAGATATTGCATACTTCAGGAACTTTGAAAGTTAGTCAATTAGTTGAGCCTTAATGATCTTTCTCTACTAAAACCAAGCAAATAGATACTTAGTAAGTGTGTAATGTGTCATCTTCTCCTAATTTTCTTTCCAATGATCTCACTACATCTGTCAGGCTTTTGTAGTTTCTTCTCTACCAGTATCTAAAATCTGTAGTTTAGAAAACTGTACAACTGCCCCAGAAAAGCTCATTTTTATCTGCATTCATTCTCTGAATTAACCTCATTATATCATACGACTTTCATCTATCGATTTCTCCCAACTTGGTACCTGTACTTTCCCAGACAGCTCCTGTCCCACTCAAGCTGATTTTCCCTGCACTATACCTTTCTATTTTGCAGCCTGCCCCGCTTCTCGAAATGATGTTCTTATTCTGCCATGATTGTGTTCAGCTCCTCTTTGCCCTTCATATCCCACATTCAATCCATTAGCAAATCCCACTTGCAAGTATATCCAGAGTGTGCCCATGTCCTACACCACACCCCTACCAGTCTGGTTCCATTGTTGAGGGGGGGAAGCTCCCCAGCAGCTCTCCTTCTGTTACTGTTTTTGCTCTTTCAGTCTGTTCTTCACACAGCAGCCTGATGCAAACTCTAAAGCACATTGTTCTTCACCCTCCCTTGGCCTCTCTTCTCGGCCACAGTACAAGATACTTCCTGTGATGGCTCCTGAACCTCTGCATAACCTTCCCTTCCCTCCCCACTATGTCTCTGAGCACAGCTTCTACCATTCTCTCCTTTGTTTCTTCTCTTCCAGTCACAAAAATCTGACTGTTTCCCAGTATACCTAGCACATTCTTAACTTTGGCCTTTTCACTTGCTGGAATATTCTTCCCCTTCACAGTCTCCTACCCTGCATGGCCCATTCACCCTTTTCTTTAGAGCTTAGATTATTCTATGTGTTTTTTATTAATACATGTTTGCAATAGAGGAGTGGTGTTTATTTGAGGAGCTTGGTACATACACATGACATATCTTGATCATTTTCAATCCTTCACCTCCCTTCTCTTCCCTCCCCCACCTCCTGATCACTGTCCTCATCCTCAATCATTGCTTTCTAATTTTCTATCTAGACTCTTATTTTTAACTTTCCCTTTCATCCTAAAATGATGCTGTTCTAGTGATGATGTAGTGACCTCTGTGCCTACCTTGCATCCATGCCAGGCACCCTACAAATTTTCAGTGAGATTTTGGGTCTTCATAGACTTCAGTGTCACCTGACCTTTGAAGGTAGATGAAGACTCTCATGTAAGGCTTGTGAATTTAATACCCTCATCTCCTAGTCCAGACTGAAGGTCAAGCGCAATAAACCACCTAGCAATTAAAAGATGTCTGATTCCTTAGCACAACCAGTGGTTTATCTTCCTTACCCTTACAGAATTTGACCAGATAATTCTCTGCATAGCTCCAAGAACCTCCCTTTTAGAGCAGCTTCCTCTTAGTCCTAATCCAACCATAGGACAGTTCCCATCTTTGGGTCAGACCAGTGAGCCGCATTCTCGCTTGTCCAGATTGAGTTTGGATATGAATTGGCAACTTAACCCTGTCCTACTCTTACTTCTAGGAGCCTGTTTCTGCCCTCTCTTTTCCACTTCATTTGTACTTTATTGTAGTACTTATGCCTCCTGGATCTTGCTTTGAATTTCCCCCAGTCCTGCCTCTGATTCGACTAAATGACATCACATATATTCAAGCTTAACACAACCACAGTACCCTCCTATCCAAGGCAGCATCCTAATAATGAGAAGGTACAGGGGTACCTTAAATATTGGTATGAAAGACAATAACCAACCAGTTCACATTTATTTGGGATCTGTGTGTTCCAAATGCTGAGTATTGGGAATGTAATGTTAAATGCAAATCCTGCATTTAAAGAATTTGAATCAATGGATTTCCAACTTCTTCTGTACAAGTGCAGACAGAAAATAATTAGGTGTCCTATACCACAGATGGATTCCTATGTTTATTATGTTTTTATTTTTATTTTTTATTTTATTTTACTTTGTATTTTGTGCAGGGTCTCACTACACAGCCTGGATTTATAGTGATCTTCCTGTTTTCAGCCTCCCCGGAGCTGGGATTACCAGGTGTGTGCCACCATTCCTGGACTCACTTGCCGGCTCAGCATGCCCAGAGGCAGGGCTGGCATGGCATGTGGTGCCAGGGATCAATCCCTGGCCCCGGCACTTCCCTCTTGTTTTTATTTTTTAGAGTACTTCAAGAATACCAATCCCATTGTGAGTCTGTAGACTGTTGGCCAAGCCCTGTGCAGATCCTTGGCATCTGACTTCTTGGATGCATCAGCAGTGGGCAGCAAGGCGTGAGACCACAAGAACCTGGGGGCTAAAACAAGGCTTCCAAGAAAATGGCATCTGGCTTGACCCTGACAGATTAAAATGTGAAGCTGGAGTGTAGCTCAGTTGACTCAGAGAGACCAGGAGGTCTAAAGACAAAATAGGATCAACCTGATACATTCTGAAACTTCCAATAGTTCAATGTTGCCAAGATATAAAATGTGAGGTACTTTTTTTTGTCCTGTAGATTGAACCTAGGGCCTTTGTGTTAAGCTACATTCTTGTCTCTTTTTTATTCATTTATTTATTTTTTTATTTTGAGTGAAGGTCTCACTAAGCATGTCAGTTATGCAAGCTGGGCTGGAACTGATTATATTCCTGCCTCAGCCTCCCAGAAGGTGGGGATTACAGGCATTCACTACTAAATGTTAGGGTTTAAACAGGGAGGGACAAGACTGAAGAGTTGATCAAGAGCCAGAGGACAAGTACCTGAAAGTATAAGCAATGACTTAAAGATCAGGACAAAAGACGTGAAAGAGTGCCTCACCCGCCTCTCCCCTGACCACTTGGTGAGATTAATGAAGCCTGCAGAGAAAGCTAGGTTGTAGTTGACAGAGCAGGTAAAGGGCACTTAGAAAGCACCAAACAAAGCAACAAGAAACAATGAAAAGTCAGGAAGCCTGTAGCAACTGTAATGGAATAGGCCCCCATGCTTTGAGAAGCATGGCCTATCTGGGGGCAGGGAAGGTGGAGAACAGTGTTTCTGGGTGGTAAGCACAGTGGGTAGGACAAAGGAAGCAGAGACCTCCAGGTGCCCAGGGCAGTTGTTAGGAGAAGGGGCTGGACAGAGGGTGGCAATGGGGCCTGAGCAAATGAGTGTGTTCACGTGTTGACTCCACGGTGCCAGCTGGACCGCATGGCTTAGTAAATGTATAACGCATGTAGTTGTACAGAATGCGATCTTTAATTATTGTTGGTCCTCTCCTCAGGAATTTAACATGCCTTTTACTAGATGGAAGCATTTTACCGTCTAGATTGAATTGTGCATGTAATTAGAAGGTATTGCATTACACCATGAGTATTCTTAAGTGTTCAAATGTCTCCTTTACAGATGAGTGCGCACAACTAATTGAACACTGTCATTGCTATTGTTGTAGGACCTCACGAACTTAACCAGGCTGCCTTCCTTAAAAGATTTGTGTCTCAACGATTCTCAGTATAAAGCCAACCCGGTTTGTCAGCTGTGTAACTATTCCACGCATTTATTATATCACCTGCCGTGCCTTCAGAGATTGGACACGTTTGATGTGTCAGCAAAGCAAATCAAGGAGCTGGCAGACGTAAGTGTCCTCCTAATCAGGTATCTGCCACTTTGGTTTGGTTAATTAACTGCTTTATTAACTGCTTTATTTATGGTAGGTGGGTTATCCAGTCATCTCTTGCTTTCAATTTTACTTTTGTCCAGTGATCAGTATATTTTACATAAAAATATACAAATGATAATGTTACTACTAGAGTTTGTGGATAATACTGGAAAGCGGAAATGATTGAAATTGAGTTTATATTGTCATGCATACAAAACTAAAAGAAGGAAATCTTCAGAATTATCAAAGCTACAGCTAACCAAACTAGTGCTACATATACAAAAATTAAAGCTTAAATAAAGGTAGAAGTGTAATAAATAACCAACTTTCATCTTGAATGTTGTATGTCAAAATTAGAAAATAACCACTGTGGATAGCAATATGCCAAAACTTAGGTAGATTTTAATCTAATTAAAGATGGTTTAAATCCACAGGAACTATAATGGCTCTCCTTCTACACACTGCTGTGACATCTCTGAAACTTTTAAGAGAGTGGCTCTTGGGTTTCCACTGACAGTGAACCTTCCAGTAAGGGGGCTGACTTTTCACGTCACTGGGGCAACTGCACCTTCGTAATGACATTCCTGGGGTTTCTCTAGGCCTTTTCATAGTCTTTCTGTATTACATTTCTAACTCTCCTTCCCAGTCACTCCTCTTGCTGTTTTGTAGGGATCTGTTGGTCTCAGGTTCTACCCGGTGAGAAAGAGCAGCAGGAATGAGAAAAACATAGATAAGAAGACAAAAACTGGGCTAGGTAGTAGCAGGTCTGCCTGGTAGGCAAGACAAACCTAGCAGCACAACAAAACCTACATTTATTTATAATTTTGCAAAGTTAGTAACAGGTGACACAAGGTTGCCTAGTGACTAGTAGCCAACATTAACCACTCAGGATGCTTATCTCAGCCCGGAGGTAGCTTATTTGCTTTAGACACTGAGGCCTAGTCATGCCTACACACCTTTGACTGACTGTCTAGCTTCTGAGCTCCTGACAGGTTTCATTTGTTCATTCAGAAAATCACCAGTACATGATGTTAGAATATGCCAAGCACACAGATGCCCCCCACAAAACCTCACTACCTTATCCTTGTGACTCATCCATCAACTCAACATAGATGTCTTTATCCGCTTGTCTTAACTTCTCTTCCCTAGCTAGCCCAAGGATTTATTCTTAAATTTCCTTCTGTCATTTTTTTTGGAAGATTGAGATTATTCTCTTCTCCATCTTCAATATAAGAAGCAAATTATTTCTCAATGATGGCTAAGCCAAAGGTTAGTGTTCCTGCCTACTTGCAGAGTTGAGAGTTATTGGAGGTCCAGGGAATAACGTCTTCTCCAACATTGCTAAGTGAAAATAATCAACATAGCTTCACATTCACAGTCATATTTTTAAAATTTCTAATATTGGGGCTGGGTAGAATAAGCACTTACCTGGCAAGCACAAGGGCCTGAGTTCAATCCCTGGTTCCGCAAAAGAAAAAAAAGACAGTGAAATTTCTAGTATTATGTCTGTAGTTTTTTTAATAAGTTACTATTTATTTATTTGTTTATTTACTTATTTATTTATTTAATGTATATGACTGCTTCAGGGTCTCAGTACGAAGCTCAGACTTGTAACGATCCTCCTGCTGTTAGCCTCCCCAGCACTGGGATTACTGGTGTGCACCACCACACCCAAACTCTGGCTGACTCAGCTTGCCCTGGGGGCAGATCTGGCACAGCATGTGGTGCTGGGTACTGAATCTCAGTTCCTGAGCTTACATAAGCTTACCTAAGCAGGCACTTTAGTCTGCTGAGCTATCTTGCCAGCCCCTGTCTATAGATCCAGGACAGATTCTGCAAAGTGAACATGCTGTACAAAATTAGTTGACCAACTTCTTCATAACCCAGAATGATGGCTCTCAGAGGTGAGCCAATCCCTGTTTTCTTGGAGACTTTTTTTGATGGGAGGGGAATAGCTAGTATGCAGCTGGGTGACTAAACAGTCAGCCTGAGAGATGATGATAAAAGTTGTGGAGAAAGTAAAACAAGGGAGAGTGAAGTGGATTGGATGGTTGGCAGAAGCAGAGGAAGGGCTGTTTTGTTTTGTATACAACTATTAGGAAATGATTTTCTGGTAAGGTGGACATTAGAGTAGAAACCAAAGGGAATGAGGAAGCAAGCCATCGGAAAATCTGGAGAAGGATTTTCAGGGATCAACAAACACACAGTCCCTGAGGCACGCCTCCACATATTTGAAGAATGACAAGGACAGTATGGCTGAAGCTGAGGATGTGATGGAAAGAGAAGTAGCAAGTAGCAGATGAAGACAGGAGTGATGGGGGCAGGTCATGTGAGACTCTGCAGAATGCTGTGGTCCCTTGGCTTCCACTTGGCGTGAGATGGGAAATTTTTTAAGCAGCAAAGGAACAAGATGTCTTACCTTTCAAAAGGATCCTCTTCGATAATGAATTTGAGGCTTCGGAGATTATTCCAGTAATTTCGATAAGAGATGTAGCTGTTTTGATACAAGGTGTTAACATAGTAGTCAAATTCTGGTGGTAGTTATAAGGTAGAACCAATTTGGATTTGCTGATGAACTGTGTATGAGGTATAAAACAAAGACCTGGCGCATACAGTGGTCGCTTAATTCGCAAACTTAATTTGTTCTATGATTTTGTTAAATATTGCCACATTCACGTTTCTGTGGGAAAGATGGGCTCTGTTGTGGTTGTTACCTGATGCAGAGTTCGCAAACATGAACATGGTTTTGTGAAATGCCTGCCATGCAGCCCCGTGCCCTGGGTGAGCAGAGATGGTGATTGAGTCTGGGTGTGGTGGCGCGCGCCTGTAATCCCAGTGTGGGGAGGCTGTAAACAGGAGAATCACTATGAGTCTGATCGGAGTAGTGAAACCTTGTAGACCCTGTACTAAATTCAAAAAAGAAAAGTAAAAGTACCTGTTTGTGAACCTGGCTGTTCACAAATAAAAGTATTTGTGAATCAAACTACCACTGTAATGTCAAATTATTAGCTTGAGCAATTAAAAGAGTAATTTGTTATTTGATGAGATAAGGAAGAGTATGGAAGGGAGTAGGTTTGGAAAGAATCATGTTTTAACAGTAAGCAAAATTTGAATGGTCTTTGAACATCTAATGGGACATGTACAATAAGCGACTGGCTATGTGAATCTTCTGTGTAAGAGTGTTTCTCACGTTGGAGATACAACCAGGAGAATTGCAAGCAGAAGGGTGGTGCTTAAAGCCATGGGCTAGATGAACCAGACAGGAATGGTGTTGACAGGTCGTGTGCTACTTGGGTGTTACAGGTTGAGGAGAAGGAAAAAAGGAACCTGAAGAGGAGATTGAGAAGGAGAATAGCCAGGGTTGTTTTACTGTCTTTGTCACTTTCTCACTATTGCAATTGAATACTTCACACCCTCACCATAAAGGAGAGATTCGTTTTGGTTCACAGCTTCCTAGAACTCATTCCATGTGTAGTCAGCTAGCTGCAGTAATAAAGTGTGTGGTGGAAGAGCCTGGAGGAGCAAGGAAAGCTGCTTGCAGAATGGCAGCCAGGAACAGCAAGGAGAGGTGGAGGAGCCAGGAGGGAGATGCACTTGTCCAAGTCTTTCTCTTTGACCTGCTTCTGGCCAGGCCCCACCTCATCACAGCACATCCAACACGTTCATACATGTTTACGTTCATCAACACATATTGCACCCGCATGAACCAGGCATCATCACTGCATGTGAAGCTTTTGAGTGACACTTCACATCTAAACCATGACATTCTGTCCCAGCCCCCAAATGACTCATGTGCATCTCTATACACAAAATGCCTTTAGTTCATCTTTAAGAGTTGCCAGAAATTGAATAGTTGCAGCACTGTCGAAAAGTCCAAAGTCTACCCTGAGATTCAAGACAATCTTTTATCTGTGAGCCCTATAAAAATCATAAAGAAAAGCAAACATTTCCAACATACAGTGGCCCCAGGAAAATAGTTCCATTCCAAAAAGGAGAATAGGGGACATAGAACAAAATTCTAAAGAAAGCCCAAAGCCCAGCAGCACAGTTGCTGTATCCTATAGCTCCTCGTCTTGGTTGCTTCTTTCTCATTGCTGAGGCAAAACACTTGACACCCAATATTAAGGAAGGAAGCTTATTTAGCTCACAGTTTGTAGTGATTTCAGTCTGTGCTCAGATGGCTGCAAGGCAGGGTGGCATGACACAGGGGCAACAGTCCAAGGTGACAGAAGAGAGCAAAAGCAGCAAGAACAAAAGCGGGGTCAAACCTCCTCCTCCCTACGGTAGATGTATCATTCACACCATCTCTGGACCCTCCTCTTGCACAGGATGGGGATATTTTGAAAGTGAGGACCCTGGCCCCCTGCTAAGTCACTTAATTAAATTTTTAAACTTCTCAAGTTGCTACAGTGTATCAACCATTTCAATCCACCCCTTGTCAACTTGACAACCAGACATTTCTTTAAGTTATTTTTCAGTGACAAAAACATGCTTGTTCTCATCAGTTCTCAACTTGAACACTGTAGCACGGGTTTATCATACTGAAGAACCAGGATTATGTCTATCAACAGTGTATTACATCAGAACCATAATGTTTTGCCGTTGGTCCTCCAATGACTCATGCACATCCCTTTATGCAAAAAGCATTTAGTTCACCTACTTCCTTTCTGGCCTAATGCACTGCATTTTAAATTATTCTGCTGGGATCTTTGCTCTTAATTCACAACATAAAGCTAGCTAAAACCTCCCAACTATTGCGATGCTACTGCTTCTATATTCAGTTGGCTTGAAATTTCTTCTGCAAAATTAATCAGTCTGCTGCCCTTAATCTCAGTCTCAGGCAAAGTCTGGGCCAGCGAAAAATGCAGGCAAACTTTATACCAAGTCCTAACACACCTCATCTGGAGTCCACAACACAATCTGCAGTCCTTCCTCCCAGCAGAAATCACCTGAACCCTGTCTTTACCACAGGATTT